CATAGCTGTGACACTGTTAAGAGATATCATATTTTATGATATAAACCACAGAAGGTACATTTAAAGCAATAAGAATGCAGAATTGAGTAATGCTATGACCTTGTAGCCTCAACATAAATATTAATAATACTGAGTAAAAGGATCTGTAGCCAGTCCAATAAACCATTTGCAATAACACTGCATACCACATTTAAAGTTTACAAATGCCATTATAATGCTTGTAGATATATCTTAAAAATCTTCTTCAGGTAAATTAAAATATGTAAAGATTTTTCTACATTATGGTTGGGAAAAGACCAGGTCTTCAAGGCTTTGGTGAAGCAGAGGTCAGCTGAACCGTGAGCACTATAGTGTTCCAGAAGCAAGCACATTTCCTGGATCCCTAAATGTTAATCCCTAAGCATGCTCCTCTTGCCCTACCTAATGGCATGGGTAGAAGCAATGGGAGTACAGCAGTCCCTCAAATACCCTGGCCCCATGCCATGTAGGGCTTTATAGGTAATAACCAGCATCTTGAATTAAATGTGGAAGCAAATTGGACCCAGTGCAACTTGTGGAGCAAAGGTGTAATATGGGCATAATGAGACATACCCATAATTGTCCATGCTGCTGCATTCTGGACCAATTGAAGTTCCAGATGTTCTTCTAAGGCAGCCCCATATAGTGTGTATGGAAGCAATCTATCCAGGAGTTACCAAACATGAGTAGCCATGCACAGTGCCTCCTGATCCAGGACGGTGTGCAATTGGCTGATAACACAAAGCTATGCAAAGATCCCCCAGTCACAAACAGGACCTGTGAGTCTAGGAGGACCCCCATACAGAACTAAAGAAGGAAAAACATCAGATTCAGGAAGCACCTAAAGCCACTCTGTCTTCCTAGGGTTAAGCTGAAGACTATTCTTCTCCATGAAGATCCCCCACAGTCTCCAGGCACTGAGACAGAACCTCCATGCCATCACTTGGCCATCTTGGGCTGAGATAATCAGCAGAGTATCATCAGCATATTGATGATACCTCATCTGGTGCTATCAAATAACCTCACCCAGTGGCTTCATATAGATGTTAAAGAGGAGCGGGGGAGGGGGGAGCTGAGCCCTGAGGCACCCCATATAAGAGGGGCATGGGGCAGACCTCTCCTTTCCATCAAAATTGCCTGGAGCCAACCTTGGAGGAAGGAGGAGAACCAGCATAACACTGCTTCTGACTCCTAACCCTGGGAGCTGGTCCAGAAGGATACCATGTTTGATCGTATTTAAGGCTGCTAAGAGATCAAGGAGAGCAAGGATAGATATACTGCCCCATTCCACTCCCTCCAAAGTTCATCTACTAGTGCCACCAATGCCATTTCAATCCTGTGCCCAGCCTGAAACCCAATTGGAAGGGTTCCAGATACTCCACTTTCTCCAAGGCCATCTGAAGCTGCAAGGCAACCACCTTCTCAACAATCTTCCCTAAAAAGGTAAAAAGGGAGGGTTAGAGACAGAACAAAACCTGTCTAAAACAGTTGGGTCTAGGGATGGCTTCTTGAGGAGCAGGTAGACCATACACCCTCTCTCAAGGATACTTTCACCACTGTCTAAACCCAACCACACATCATCTCCCAAGCAGCCTTGACTGGGAAAGAGCGACATGAATGCAACACTGAGGTAGCAGAATTTACAATGCCAAGAACCCTGTCTACTTCCTTATGGTTATGCTTTAAATATCCTCCAATTTTTAATTCCCTTGATTCACATGGAAATCAAGGGTGAAGAAGAATGTGGCTGCTTCAGGAGTTTACATTTTAAAAAGTGAATGTTAGTATTTCTTGCACGTCCACTCTTCATACTTGTAATGTTTCAGGAATAACATAAGCATCAACAGGACATGTACAGGCTTAATCTTTGTATGCTGCACTGGAAATTCAAAGTAGGTGCAGGGATCAGTAGCAGATCTGCTTTTTGCTTTTCTACTCATGCCAAGCCTTTGTTTTTCATCAAAGGCAGAAAAATGAGATAATCTGATGCCCAGTTTAAGGAGACTATCCAATATGATATTGGTTGCTTTTTACCTAATGAATTTAAAGAACCGTCCACTTGGTCCCTTGCATCCAGCGTTTGAGACGGTGTTACTGCAGCAGCAATTTATATTGGAAACTGAAGTTGGGGTACCTTGGACAAGAGTCAAAAAAGTCAAGATAGTGGTTGCAGCTATTCAATTACGCCCCGCCCATTTTTATACACATATAAAAAAGGATGAACTGCACAATCACAGATTATGAATATAAACCTAAAGTCCTGGACACTTCTAATTTGGATCCAAGCCATGACTGACCAAGTCACAGTCTCTCTCCTATTGAGATGTAATGTTGATTTATTTAGAAACATATGTCCTGAAAGAAAACTAAGAGACAGATAATCCTTAAAATATAGTGGCCACTGCAAATGGAAGATCGGAAAAATTTAATTGTAACTTAAGCTCTAAGATTGTCCTTAAAAAATTATCCTTGTGTATTGTAATATTTTGATCCAGTGTGATGAAATGGTGATTCAAAAACCCCACTAACATACCCCAGAGCCTTGCTGTGAGGTAACAGAATAAGAGAAAGAAGCTTTTCTATCTCCCTTAACTCGTTAGATGAAGGATAGCATAACCATATACTGTTATATACACATACAATTTCTAAAATGACTTCAATGTGCACAATTCTGTAGTTTATGGCATCTTTCTGTCTTGCTCTAATTATCATCATAAACAGACTCTGCATTTCTGAGCTCAAAAGATGCCAAATCTTTATACATTCTCTAATAATACAAATGCTCATAGTGTTTAATATATGTTAAACTTCTATTAATGTTAGATCTTAGGGCAAATCTTACAGGGCAGATCAGTTTATAACTTTTCTGACTCCTATATCTATAAAGTTTTAATCACTTTCAATGTGATATTTTTGGAAAAACTGAAATGGTTATTATCCTCATAGTATGATGAAAGACAACTTGCTTGCTAAAACGTGTTCTTGAAAGAGAAGCAAAAGCATGTTCCAGTTCGTATGAGTTCAGTACAATACTTTCAGACGTGACAGAATAATAAAGTGAACATAGTAAACCAACCTGGGAGGATGAAATCCCCAAATACTGCCTCAACCTCTGAACCAATACCTTTTTTTCATTAGTAGGTTTTATTGAAAACTTATAGATGCAGGCATGAAAAAAAAGTTTAAGTTTAACTACAACAAAAATTCAGCTAGGTGCTCAAACTATGTGAGTGTGTTACGTAATTTTCTCAGGAATTTCTTGACATTGAAATAATTAGTTACGTTTGACAGTTGTGATAACCTTTACAGTAAACCACAAAAGCTTTTAAATAGCAGATTTATATCAAGACCTTGGAAAGTTGTTTTTTAAATGGCAGGTAAAACATACAAGTTATGATGAACATTGAATCAAAATGAAACAATATAACTACATGGCTGCCTATTTTATATATATATTGAAAAAATACTGAAAATAAAACCCACATTTTGTATGGAGTTTGCCCACTATATTAATAGCTGAGATTAATTTCAGTCATCTTAAAAATATTTAATTCAATTTCATTAAATTTAGAAACATTCAGTGTTACTTATTTCTAAATAATGAGGAATCCTGATCCATAAAACAGAGTTCCCAATCTTTGAAATCCTTTTTTTTTTTTTCTTTCTTTTTCTTTTTTGGCCGCATGAAAGTCACTCCATTGGCAAAGCATCAAACATCAGTGAAAAAAATTAAGCATGTTTAAAAAAGGAAATTGCAAATAAAGTAAGTTCAGCAGCATTTCAGATTCTATTACAAAAAAGGTTCTTTGGGGCACATAAAAATAGCCCTGTCTTCAACAGATGCATCTTTCCCCAGGATTGACTGACTACCCCCTGAAACTAAGATTGGTCAATCAAGGTATATGACACATCAGTTACAAATATTTCTTGTTCAAATTTAAAAGACTGTATTAATCCCATGAAGGATGTGTGTTTGTATGCGTGTTTTCCTCTATGAGAATGGTTAAGTAATGCTGTCTTTAAACCATGATTAAAAGTTGTTTTGTTTGAAAGTAGTTACAAAGTCACAAAGAGTTCTTACTGGTTTATTTGTCCAGTCATATAAAAAGTGGTCTGCTTACATTAGCACACTGGTTGTTCATATTATTTATTAAGCAAAACTTCATAGCCTATAATATGCACAGATATAGCCAGTAGACAGACTCACTCCAGATAAAGACCAAGAAGACTCTCCAAGACAGAAAAAAACACATAAATATTAACCCTAGTGTCCGGGTATTAAAAACAATAATTATGCATCTTTTTACTGAACTAAAGTCTTTAGCTTCTTTAAGTACTTCATAAAAACATTTCAAAGTTTATTTCTGGGGAAGATCTAAAAAAGTGGGATGCTCAAAAATGTAGTTCTAAAAAGATTCTTTCACATGCACTGCGCTTAAACAAGAAGAGTATTGAATCCATTCATTAGAAAAGCAGTGACTCCAAAGATTCCTCTCTGCCACTTATACATTAAAACCTTGTTTGTTTTAAAGATGTGAGTTAAAACTTCCACTTTGCTTGAAACATGTTCTAACCATTTAAAACATATTGACAGAGGTCATTTTCCTTGAGTGATGAGGTCACTTTTGTGCCCCAGAGACCGGAGGAGAAAAATGAATGAGTCTGCACATTATCTTTGTATTTCCAGGTCATTGCCAAACCTGTTCTCATGCTGTCACTTGGGTTCTGAATACTTGATAAATATTATTTCTCCTGGTAATTTTCTTATACTTCCTAGACAGTTGAAGACCATTATAGAGTAGTCACAGTAACGCAATATTAAGACATTGAGCTGGTAGAAAACTGTTTGGATATTTTAGTACATGACTTTATTAAAATGCAACTTACCATTAAGATACAAGTTTATTTCCATAAGTGTATCAACAATACTATATGAACAGCCATGTTTAATTAATTGCATTTATATTCTGCTTTTTCTCCAGGAACTTGATCACATTCCCTTATAGTATGATAGAGGATGACTTGCTTGCTAACACATGTTTTTGAAAGAGAAGCAAGGTATGTTCCAGTTCATATGAGTTTGGTACAATCCTTTCAGAGTGACAGAATAATGAAGTGAATATAGTAATGAAACCTTGGAGGCTGAAATCCCAAAATGCTGCCCTCAACCTCTAAACAAACACTTTGGTGTGCAAAATACATTTGCATTTATATTCTGCTTTTTCTCCAGGAACTTGATCACGTTTCCTCTGCACAAAAGTTTTCCACAACAATTCTGCTAGAGATAGTGGTCCAAAGTCTTCCAGGGAGCTTTGGCTTCATTGAATTCAGACTTTGATCCGCCCACTACTGGCTTACTCTGAACTATATGTCTTTTTAAAAATAAATAAATAAATAAATAAATAAACACATAAAGATTTTTTTTTTCAGTTCAAGGCAATCAGCTGTGACTTGTTCATGACAACAATATATTTTGTACACTAACATTTTTTAAAAATTAAATAAAAGGTTTTTTAAGCCCTTTTCATTGAAATAAAGTATAAAAATATATACAAAATCCCTTTGGTTAAAATTCTACATAGATCTGCATTCTGTGGATGTCTGTGCATTTGTGTACAATAATCATGAACATTATATTGTCTAATGAATATGGACATTAATTATGTCCAGTAAAGTAAGTTTGCTTGAGAGGATTATACTGAAGAGCTGCCTGAAGAGCTACCCAGAATTAGAAAGCAGGAAAGTGGGGAAATGATTTTTCAATTAAGTTTTCTCCAAGCTGCCTTCATTCTATTTCTTGCATGAGTTAAAAAGTCTATGCTAAGCTTTATAATGGTTAATGGAATCATTTCAGATCTTTTTCAAACATATGATTTTAATGTGACTGCCAAAACACAATGTAATACTATTATTCAAGAATAATTAGATTCAACTCAGGACATAGCCAACAATGTGGAAAGCTTATTCATACCATACCAAGGACTGTAATTAGGCCCATACAGGCAACAGTCGTATGGGCCTAATATGGAGGAAAAAGGAGGATGTGACAAATTTGCACCTTTTCAGGTGGTTTGCAATGGAGACAGACTCTGGAGCTTAAACCAGATGTGTTGGGATCACCAGAAGTCCTAATCAGAATGGAAACATATATTCCAAAGACAAGATATCAAGTTCCCATCACAGGAAACAGTGACTTCTTAATGTCCTGCCAATATTGAATGTATCATTTATACATTTGCTGTATCTGTTAGAATATGGCATTTTCCCTAACCAATATGTGGCCTTTAATATTAGTCTGATATTGATTTACCTATTTATTTATGTGGATTTTTCTTTTAAAAAAATCTTCAATTGTTAACTTCCGATTACCTTTTCTTTACATCATGCTTTCTAACAATTAACATTTAGAACTGGATAATATGTACGTATGGCTAGGATCTTAGGCTTCTAACAAATCTTGCTAAGAGAAGCAGATGTATCTGAATTTGACCTCTTCATCTGACTTTTAAAAGCTAAGTACCTTTGGAACTTGTTTATACTTGGACAGGAGACCATTACAAATCCCAAGATTTTAGAAAAGGAAAAAAAAATGGATGATGGATCACCAGGAATCCAAACACAGTTAGTTAAAAAGAAAAGAAAGAAAATGCTAGAAGGCAGCAATGGCAAATCATTTGCATATTACTGCCAGAATACCAGATGCAAGTCTCCATGTGGCCACCAAGAGTTGAATTTGAGTCAAAGAATGCTTTATTCTCCTAAGAACAGTATTAGCCAGTATTTTCAAAGGTAACAATTTGCTGCCATAACTGATTTTGACCTGCAGAGCCATTTCCCTCTTATAAAAGGCCAATACAAAGAAAGCTATTCATGTACATGGATTATGTTTGACTCAGAAACCATTTTGCAGTTTAAAATTAAAACACCTATATACTCCACAGACAACAACAAATCTTATTGCCTTGCAACTCTTTACTGATACAAGATAATTTTCAGAGCTTGGCATCCTACAGAACTAGTAGCACTTAATTGAACTTGAAGCTCTCTCAATCTCTTTATTAACATTTATTCTTTCTGTAAGCTTTTTTTTTTCAATCAATGAGTCAGATATTTGAAATACCAACATCACATTGATTGAACAGGTATATAAAGAAGGCCAACAGGTTGTGTGAAAAGAAAATATAACATGTATAACTATTGCACTTTTTCACTTGAACACTGTAAATACCTTCCTAGAGCTGTTCAGATAATTTGCAATTGTATGATAAAAAGTCTGCATTTTTTTCAGCTGCTAGAAAAGCTAAATAACAATAGTTTATTTAATCTGAAAATTATTCCTAATCTCTAGATAACAAAAAGCATAAGTGGGTTATGATCCTGGTATGGGTTTCTCAGATTATTTTTTTTTATCTTTGATTTTGGGGAGCTTGGAGTTTAAGGGTGAGATCTCTACCATTCATGTTTTTTTACTAAGCATGTAAAAATGACACTGTCAATTTGCTGCAGTGCAATATGGAGTGCTGTGGTTGGGCCCATAAATGATTTATAGTGGCCACATGCCCATCCCTCAACCATGACCATCTGTTGTCATTTGAAAGATGAGAAACTTCTGATCCCCTACATCCAGGAGTTCAGACTGAAGATGCAACTCTAAGGTTAATCTAGAACTAGCCTGGACTTTTATTTAACTTGACAGAAGAGTCCTCCTAGTTGCTACTAATTTAACTTCCCATAATGGAAAAATAGAATGCTGGGCTATTGCTAATGAATATGAAAGTTATTCACAATAGAGTTTATATACAAAAAAGTGATAGTGAAACTACATGGGTTGAAAGGTTGTAAGTATTGTACAATATATCATATTAAGCTTCAGGGAATTCAAACACAGCCCAACAATTTAATTTAAGTAACACACTGACTATACTGGGAAAACAAAGCAGGCTTAAAACAAGCCACAAAACTGATCTCGTTGTATAAAATCTAACCCATTCAGTTCTGATGGTTTCAATCTAAGTTTCATTTTCTGTCCATCATCAGTGGACTGGATAACTGATTTTAATCTACGTTGATCAATATTTAAGTGCTGAACAAAACTATCACATATGTCCATGGTTCCCAAACTCTGTGCCGTGGTACCCTGGGGCACCACAGTGATCTTATAGGGGCACCATGGGACATTTTAAATTTCACCCCACCTAAGTTTTGTGACATCTATTTGCAACATCGTATCCTTGTGAAGCTGGTTTTTTGGAGTCTTTTGGCCTTGGGTGCCATGAAAAAATTACTGACACACTAAGGGTGTATGAACTGAAAAAGTTTGGGAATCTCTCGCATATGTTGTAAATTGAGAACAAAGCAACTATTTAGCACTAAAAAAAAAAAAAAAAGGATGAGGTAAGGGATTCTACCCAGTGTTGTCTAATATAAGTATTTTTTTATAATCGATAAGATGCATCAGCATTAATCAATTTCATTTTGCCCTTTTGTAGCCTTTTTTAATTCATAATTTTTAATGCAAAATGAGTTCTGGTAAAACAGCCTACTTTGAATATGAAACATATGTCAAATATTAGTTGATTTTAAAGATTGACCCTTCCTGGGAACCAGTCCTGCTTATTTTACACTCTCATTTGCTCCCCAAAATTGATTACTTTCAACTTGGCCAATAGCCTGAACTGATTTTATGCCCTGGATGAAAGTCTACTTTTAAATAAGAGGAAATAACTTGGAGGGAAATAAGATTCAACATTTATTTGTTTTAAGGTGGCCTCATGTGGATTTTCCTTTTTATAATCAACTCATGTTTATTTGAATTTTTAAAGTTCTGCATATTTCTCAGATTTCTCAACTTTCTATTCCTCTAAACTTTAAATATAGTTTACAGAATAGTTTCCAATTCATTTTTAATTCATTTGTCTGTACTTGCCTATGGTCAGGTTTAAACGCAAGTTCATGGGTCAACAGCTAACAATGAGGTAATTCTGGTTGCTTATGTATGTGCACTACCAAACACCCTACATCCATTACTTCAAACACAATAAGAAATTATTTTCCTTTGGTACCTTGGAATATTCTTAGCTTGGAGGGAACTCCCATAGTGAGCCAGAAGGCCTATGTAATATTTTAGACTTCAAATGCTATAAATGGTTATTCTTCTTGTTTTCCAGATTCACCTCAGTCACAATAGAAATAATTCAGCTGTTTTGGCAAAATATATTATACCAATATTTTAATATGCTTCTCCCTCAGATTTAATTATATCCACTGGATCAATCATCAGATTCAACCTGACATTTCCAGATGTATTGGCCTTTAAATCTCAGCCATTGGAAGCATTAAATTTGCAGTTTGCAGACAATCCTGGGAACTGCAACTCAACACATCCAGACAATGACAGGTTGAGTAAAGTATGTTTTAAAGCAGAGAAAATGTTATCATCAAACCCTCTTTTTTGATACCCTCTCTTTTGATACTTTCACAAAGATCAGGATTTAAATTTCAAACACTTGAAAACATCAGTAATTATTTTCAGAATGGTTAAATTTGAAATGAAAAATGTCTTCTATTATGAATTTTCAGATTTTTAATATCAGTATTTGCCCTACCAATATTATCTGTGACAGTTATGTGGTTTGCTATAATAGCTACCTTTCAAATGTGTTTGATTTCATCCTCCCTCTCCAGCTCTGAACATTGGTTGGGAAAAGCTGTTAAAATCTGTGAAGTGTTCCATGTGTCTGTATAATGTGAATTTAAATTACATTAAAATGAATGATTTGTGATAAACTTTGTTAGAATATCAGCAGTAGAATGTTTGGTTTTTTCCTGGACATCCATGAATTTTTTGTTGTAATTTACAGCCAAGGGAAGCTAAGAGAAAAACACCATTTGCAAATTAGATGAAGTGTACCACTGGTTAAATGAAGCACAGGGCTATTTTTCACGCTTCTTTGAAAAGGCTATGGTGAATGGCAGGTAGAAGATTATATGCTACACGAGCAGCTCGGTGAAAGAAATCAGGATAGACAAATGATACTTCTGATCAAGCCTTTCATGGGATTAGTAAAAAAAATGAGTAAGCTTTAAAATTAATGCAAACCCATGAACATATATGAAAAAATTAATATTATCAGTGATTTTTATATACTAGCTTTTGAGCCTTAAGACTGTTTGAAGAAATGATATATTCTTAATTTCTGCACATATATTTCATTAAGAGACTAGTTTTACAGACATATCTAAATCTTTCACCTGATCTTTAAGGTTTGAGCATGAATCTGCAAAAGTTAAATTAGGAAAGTAATGCAGTCTTAGGGTGACTACAGTTATACATTGATTGACACAGTATACTTTGTTTGAATATGGTTTATTCAATAAATTGAAATAGATTATGTTCATATTAGATGCTGAACTATAAATCATGATTTATACAGTTGAAGTAATCCCCTAGTTATTTATTTATGGAAATGGAACTTATTTCTAGAAAATTGTGTTTATGACTTCACTAGATTGGGTCCTATCACACGGTCATAATTCAGTAAAGGCTTATGAAGTACAGAAGAATTTATTTCATATATAACCAATGAAATTACATGTGGTAACCAACAATTCTTTTAGTATTTTTTTCAAGCAGAAATCAGCTTACACACTTACAGCAAGAAAGATATAATTACATATACAGATATGGTCATTCATACTCTATGAATAGATTAAAAACACAGCAAGAACTACTCAATGAATGCCAGAATATACCATGATTGCTGGAAGGATAAAATCAGATCTCAAGAAGGAAAGAGGGAAATTAAAAAGAATTTGAAACACTCATACAAACCAATGCCACCTGTCAGGGCGCAAATATGAAATTTTGCTTAGATATGATAGTAATAAATGTTGGAAATGCCATGAAACAGAAGGAACATTTTATCACATGTGGAGGACATGTAAAAAAAGCAACTAAAAGAACTGGAAAGATATACACCATACAATGTAGAAAATTTTGGAATTTAAATTTGAAATGAAACAACTTTTCTTACTAGTTATAATCTCAGAAAAATCAACAAGAAACATCATAAGTCAATTCATACTGTATAAATACCTTTGTATCAAAATATCATTGTATCTCTATGTGTCTATTTACAACTGATTTGTCTGAAATGTGTAACCATATTTACACAACATTCAAAGGAAACAATAAAAAACCTTGGAATGAAACAAAAAAAAAATAGAACAGATCTCCTCTAGCAGCCTACATTCAGATAAGCAGAGATCAGCACCAGACAAACAATGAGGCAGAAAACAATGTTCTAATCAAGGAACCACCAAGCAGAAAACTACACCCCCACCAAAAGTGGTAGAGCAAGCTACTGCATATAAACTAGTAAATTCCACACTCACCTGCACTGATGATGTTTCCTAGTTGGGTGAGGAACATCTGCAGGGAAACAACCAAGCTGAGAAGGCACCAAGAATTCCACAGTTCAACCCTGAGCTACAGATATTATCTTCTATTGGAGTTGTATTTCTGTCCTGGTAGAATATTGTATGTCTGAAATGTTTTCAAAACAAGCAATTGTACTCATCTCTGTCTTCTCCCATCATGATGGCAATAAGATTGGGCTTCCACAAAGTATAATTTCATGAATTAAAAATAAGCTCACAAACCTAAAGCTCCTATGACACAATTTATGATGTGCAATATTAAGTGGACTTTGGACAAAGTGCTAACTGGACAATGGACACATTGCTTTTTATGTTGCTGATTATACAGCAGTTTGGCTGTGTTTATGTCTTATTAAACTGGATCTCAAATATGCAAGCTCTGAAGAATGAGCACAGATTTCATGACATTTTGGACCTCACATTTCTGATGTAATCCAAAAAAAAAAAAAAATGATTTACACACAATTAATGGAGATGAACATGTGTAGTCAGAAAAGTCTGTAAGTAACGTTTGACAGATATCTTTCCAACAGAGAAAATACAATATCTCTTAGTTTAAAATTCTGTCCTATTGACTGAGTTTATTGAAGTTGTAGCTTTATCTTCTGTAGAAAGATCAGTTTATGAGCTATATTGTAAAAGTTACTTGTTCTTTTATTGAACTCCACCTGAGATATGAAAAAGTAAGCGTAAGAGTATTTAGGAGGAAGGAGCATTAGATTTTTCTTCATTTCACTGACAGAGTTATCCATAGAGAAAGAATTAATCACTAGAGACCATTTAATACGCTCCTGTCAATTAAAGCCACAGGAGGTTTAAGTTATACTTACAGGTGACATGTGACAAAGGGCTGAAGGCATTAGTAGATGATGTTAAAGGGGACACTATTACTAAAAAATAGACTAAAAGTAGTAAGAGTGGGGTTTAACTTGCCTTTAACTCATTGCAACTGTCATTTTTATTATAGCTGAATGCAATGCAAGATCAAGAGTATAGAACTATATGGACCAGATTAACAGTGGAAAGAAAACTGGTCAATGAACATTACTGGTAATGCTATTTTTGTGAGAAGACATTTTTACCACTACAGAACCCTGAGTTTATCTGGAGATCTTTCTGCCTGCTCTTTCTGGATGGTGGATCTTTGGAACCAGTAAATCCTTCAGATCTTATATCAGCCATCTGCAGTTCTTATTGTCTTCTCCCTCTCAATGAAACAGGTGAGAAAAATGGAGTATGTTTTGCTCTCAAGGAACCAGGACACTCCCCCCCCCATCACCATATGAATCCTTTTTGTTGGCATTTTTATTACAAGCTGCCCTGACTCTGGTAGACACAGTTACTTCATCTTTCACAGATGTTGATTCTGTCCTTATAGCTTATGAAAACCTAAGTATAGGACTTAGGCAATTTTTAACTGAAAAGGTTCTCCCCAGAATGCCACAGATAATAGGCCTCATTGGTTTGACTCAGAATATTGTCCCTTGAGAAAGAGATTAAGGCTATCTATGTATCTAGCATAGAACCTCCATCAGATAACAACCATGCCACCATACAAGAGCTTAGACACGAGTACAAGACAGTGATCATGCACAAGAAGTTTCTCTTCTTCTCTCTGGTTAAATTTAGAGCTAGCTGACAAAATCCCAAGCCAATCTTTTTTTGGGAATTCAGTCGCAGGAGAATTGCAGGAATGTAGGTTCTTTCTCAATATCCCTGTACCTGCCTTCATGTGGAAGGAATAATACAGCCAATTATTCACCACCTCTAGCTGTAGTGGACTAGGGGATTCACAAAATGATCTACAAAAGGCCTGTAGCATCTCCCCACCCTGGCCTCCAGTGACGGAATGGGAGAGTCTGAATGAGCCTCCTAAAATCCAGCAAGGCTCCTGGGGAAGATCTTCAACCCTTCGAACTGTTCACGTTTCACATTGACTGGTGGGCACTTTACTCACAGGCTATTTACTCATATAAATAATTCCTGCCAAATTCCAGCTGGCTGGGAATTCTCTATTGTGGTCCCCATTTACAAAAAGGGTAATAATCAGAATGGCAGAACATGGCGGAGTGTGGTGGAGTGCAGCGGAGAACAGGCTTGGGCGAGCAGCAGGCTTGGGCGAGCTCTGGTGTGGTTCCTGTGTGGTGTGGTGAACCCCAGTGAGCCCTGGAGTGGTGTGGAGATCCCTAGTAGACTCTGGCATGGGTGGCAACTCTCAGCAAGCTCTGGGATAACATGACGAGCCCCAAGAGGTGCCGGTGCAGCGTGGCAATTCCACTGAGCCCTGGAGTGGAGCAGGGTGATATAGTCAGCTGCAATGCGCTCTGGAGCGTGGCGAGCTACAACGAGCCGCGGACTGGCTTGGTGAATTCCAACAGGCCCAAGTGTGGTGCAGCAAGCTGCAGCGAGTCTTGGTGAGCCCTGGTATGGCGCAGCCAGCCCCAGCATGGCAGAACAAACTTCAGTGGGCCCCAACGTGGCTTATTGAGCTCCAGGCCCAGCGGGCCCAGCAGGCTCCAACATGGTACAATGAGCCCTAGGCCCAGCAACCCCAATAGGCCCCAGCGAGCCCCAGCACGGCACAGTGAACCCCAGCAGGCCCCAGTGTGGCATATCGAACCCCAGGCCCAGTAGGCCCAGCAGACCCCAATATGGCACATTGAACTCCAGGTCCAGCAGGCTCAGTAAACCCTGACATGGTACAGTGAGCCCCAGGGAGCCCTGGAACAGCACTGCAAGTTCTAACGAGCCCCGGAGCCACATAGCGAGCCTTAATGAGCCCCAGAGTGATGCAGCAAACTCCAGTGAGCCTCTATGTGTTGTGGGGACCTGGAGGCTTCTGGAGTCCTGGGAGCTTGGTGGTTTGGCGTGAGGACGCGGGGTGGGTTGGAGGGGCCGAGACCATAGTGGACTTGTAGTCCAGCTTTGGAGGAAGATTGCTCGGCTTTGGAGGAACAGCCAGGCAGTGGAGTAGCCGGACAGTACACTAAGAACCTAGCCACTCCCACTTAACCTACCCATTGTCAGAGGAGAGCCATAGGGTCCCCCCAGTCTGAGTCTGGGACTCCCTCCTGGGAGTGAGAGTCTGGGAGGGAGTCTGGGAGTATATGAGGATTCACCTCCTGGGTGAGAGACAGGAGGTGTGAGGGAGTGAGTGGGATGCTCTCCCTGCCGACTAGTAAGAGAGATTGTGCAGTGGTAGAGTGTGAGGGGAGTGTAAGATTTGGGGGGGTAGGCCCCAGTGGCACTGAGAGCATGAGCTGGTATGCCAGCGGAACCTTCCCTCACCTGTGAGTGTCTGGCTGTGAATGGGGATGATTGATTGGACGGAGGGAACTTTACCCTGGATTAGGTAGTCCAGGGGT